ATTACATTTATTTATTTATTTTGATTTTTCGAGACAGGGTTTCTCCGTAGCTTTTTGGTTCTTGTCCTGGAACTAGCTCTTCTAGACCAGGCTGGCCTCGAACTCACAGAGATTCACCTGCCTCTGCCTCCCAAGTGCTGGGATTAAAGGCGCGTGCCACCACCGCCCGGCTTGCACTTTTTTTTTTTTTAAAGACAAGTCTCGTGTAATGCAAGCTGACTTCAAACTTACACTGTAGCCCAGGCTAGCCTTGAGTTCCTGGTCTGCTGCCTCAGTGCCTGAGTGCTGGGATGCTAAGCCCTTGCCACCATGCCCAGCTGTCTGACAACCTCACAAGCCTTCTGTGGGTTCACTTTCATGTTGCTACCTATACCACACCCTCCTACAATTATTCATACATAGGATAATAAGTTCAGTGCTCTTAGCAGATCCCAATACTTCAAGACGGAACTCAACACTGGCCTTTGGGATTCTTGTTGCCTGGCCATTTTGGACATATATAAAAAAAGTAATTGAACCAATGTTTCAAAATTGCTTGTCATTTAATAGTTTTGGGGCTCCTGGAATGTCATGGCTGCAGGGAGACCACATATGCAATACTGCCCTCTCCTGAACAAAATGAGACAAACCCCCGTGCGTGCGCGCATGTGCGCGCGCACACACACACATACTTGCAGACACACTCAGAGGACAAAGTGGGTAGAGGACCCTCCTTGAGGAACTCATTATTTCTATCAAACATGTGTGAGTAAGTAAGATCTATGTATTTTAAAATTCCATACAGTAGCTAGAATAAGCACTTTCAATTCACTTTCCTTATAGCATGGTCTAGGTATGTGTTACGGAAGATTCTTCTAGAACAGAATAAAAGAAGATTAAAAAAAAAACATATACAAGAGAGAGAGAGAGAGAGAGCCAAGTCTTTCCGTTTAAATGGAATCCACTACTATGTACTTGACTATCACATCAAAAAGGAGTTGAAGGGATCAGGAGCAACCGCCACGGACAAAGCTTTCCTAGATCACCAACATTCCTAGTCTGCATCCCTGCCCAGAGGACAATAAACTCCCTATTCTGAAGAATCCAAGGCAGGAAGAGTTACAACTGTAGCAAAAGAACACAGCCAGCTACAGTGGCCTTGACAATGACCTGAAGAAGCCAAGATGAGGCCAAGAGGCACCAAGATGTGGCCAAGAGACACCAAGATGTGTCAGGGATTAGTGGTGTATCACAACGATAGAGATAGCAAGGTTAAATGTGTTCATTAGTGAGTGCATCACTGTGGTCCTCACGGCTTCTCCTTCCTCTGATAGGATCTAAGAAAGACAGCAAGGGACTCAAAGAACTTGTCCAGTGTCGCCGGTAGCAAAGCCATACTCCAAGACTACTATCACGCAGGTCTCTCCTCCTCGGTTAATATGCCATGTGCATGGACACAATGCCATGAAATAATGGCATTATTTCATACATATAAAACCTAAAGTGGGCCTTCTGGATTCTGGCCATCAGCCCCCTACACACACACACACACACACACACACAGAGAGACAGAGAGAGAGAGAGAGAGAGAGAGAGAGAGAGAGAGAGAGAGAGAGAGAGAGACTCTCCTTCCCCCCTTAAAAAGTGAAAACCCCTAGAGGAGAGCTATGCTTTTCAGATACATGTTTCTTTAAAAAAAAAATCCTGTTTGAGCAATGCTTTCCAAATGAAATCAATCTCTTAAAATTTGCTGGGGGCGGGGAAAAAAAAAAAGCCAAGCCACTCCATTTGTTCATTTAGCTTTGAGGTATTTTTCAGAAACCTGAGCTGCAGAGGGGAAATGCCGGGCTGGGCTGCAGCAGGTCCTGCGTGTTCTCTTTGAAGAAATGAAAAGAAGGATCTTCAGGAAGAGGCCTGAAGCCAAAGATTCCCTAGCTCTTCCTTGTAGAACCCCTGCACTTCCCCCATGCTAACCTGGGGAAACTCTCGACTCTTGCTAGGTACCAAGCCAAGTTTTATCTGGAAGTTTGTGGTGGAGAGGATCCCTGCTTTGGGGCAAATAGGCAAACTGCCAGGAGGTGGAGACTTCTTTCTTATGTTTATCAACTAGGCTTATCTTTTTTTTGTTTTGTTTTGTTTTTTCGAGACAGGGTTTCTCTGTGGTTTTGGAGCCTGTCCTGGAACTAGCTCTTTTAAGATGTCATTTTCTAAAGCTAAAGAAGTAACGAAATGATTGTAGATCAACTTTTGAAAAGATAAATAAGGGGACCGAGCCTGGGCAGATGGTTCAGCTGGCATAACTCAAACATGAAGACCTGCTTCAGTTCCCCAGACCCCAAGTAAAAACCTCACGGCAGACGTGCACACTTGTCGCGGGAGAGCTAGACACAGGATTATCCCTGAGTCTTGTTAGCCACCTAGCCTAGTCTACTTGGCAAGCCCCAGGTCCCATAAGACTCAAAAGTGTGTGGGGGCCAGCCAGATGACTCAGCAGATAAAGGCACCTGCCACCAAAAACCTGGCAACCTAAATTTAATCTCCAGGACTCACATGGTGGAAGCAGAGAAGCGACTCCTGCAAGTTGTCCTCTGAACTCTCCATGTGCACTATGGGGTGAATACTGTATTTATACATTCATTATACAAATGTAAGAAATACATAACATATAGTAAGATGAAGAATAACTGAGGAAGGTACCTAATGTTGACCTCTGACCTCCACACACAAATGTGCACATGCCTCCCTCACACAAGCATGTATACATATATAGTCACACAAAGAAATAAAAAAAAAAGTGGAAAATTTAAATTATCCGTGATTGCATCCACTGCCGACGTTTTACTTTATGCATTTCTAGGGTTGGGTTTATGGGTATAGGTAAGTGTATAAAGATTTTGAACTCAGGACTTCAGGAAGAACAGTCAGTGCTCTTAACCACTGAGCCATCTCTCCAGCCCCAAAGATTTTAAACAATATTTGAATCATGTTGCCACTAGACTGGCTATTCTAATTTTTACCCTGAAATTTTATCATGAGTATCATTCAGATGTTGGTCTGGATACTTTTTTCACTGAGTACCTCAATAGAAACCAGCGTAGGGGGCACTGCGAGGTCCCCAGTAACTAGTCAGGGACCCTTTCTTCTTATAACCACAGACTGAGGAGAGAATAACGGGATTGCTGCTGATACATCCTTGAGGCCAAGTGATCTTAACGTGGCCATTTGGGTCACCCACCTCCATTGACAGGACAAACACAGGAGTATCCCTTTCTGTACCTTGGTTGGGTATCTTCCTATCTGGTTGCCTCTCCCCCAGGAAGCTTGGGTTCTGTGAGAAGGTTTCACAGTCGAGAGGTTAAGGAAGGGTATCCATGATACGGTTCAGAATCACCCATTGTTTCCAAACTTGTTCAGCTCAATTACACGCTTTCTTCTTCCTTCTCCTTTCCTCTCTTCCCCATCCTCCCCACCTCCTTTCTTCTCTCTTTCCCTCCCTCCTTCCCCCTCACCTCTTCATGTTTTCTCCCCAGAAAAAAAAAAA